GACACAGGGCGCTTTCCGTTCGGAAATTTCTTATCTGAAATTTCCGTGCCATTTGTTCCTGTTTCGAAATTTTCGGAATTCAGTTTGGGTTGAATGGAAGCGCCTACAATGTTTCAAATAACTTCAATCGCCACAAAGTTCCTTTGATAATGGAAGGCACTCCTCAGCGGTATGTTTTTTTTTTTTCATTACTACAGGTTATTTTTATGGTGCTCTAATGCACAAACAATATGTCGAACTCTAAACCGAGTCGGCCCGAGTCCTCTGATAATAGCTTCAGTCTTCCTTCTCAGTCTAGTTTCAGTCTTTCTTCAAACAAGAAAACGTCTACCGGCCGAATTCATGAGCACTATGTAAAACCTCTACCAAAGTAGGCTGTCGTAGATAGGTTTGCCAATGTTACTTCGATCCAATCAAAGAGGGTAGATGCGTCAAGATACTTGGAATCGCGTGCATCAATAAATCAGTCGAATGTCGTCTTTAGGAGCTGTCATGTCTACTACGATTCGTCGCAATTCTTTAGGTCAACGTTGTCACTTAAAAGTAATGCCCTATTTCAAAATAATACCGTCTCAGATGGCATGTCACAGGAGGTTTTGTTAACCCGACGTTTTCCGTTTAGTGATACAGTTGGGATATTCTGATCTGTTTTGCCTGCATACACAAAATGATATCATTCCTTTTGTCCAACTTTTTCCTGATACCGTTTGGCTAAAAGTCAGGTACTTCAAGGCGTCGTTCATTTAATAAACTAAGGGTTGAAGTCTTTCGCCGGTTAGAGAAAATAATCAGCCCCCTACTAGAGATATCGTTAAACAAAAACAAAAAGACTACATGCAATCGGTCCGAGAATGATCGATGAAGAACACTCGAGCTTGCACTCAAGAGCTCTGTGCTAAGTCATCTATAAAATACAAAAAAGGTTAAAAATCATTTAGAGCTTCAGAAAAGAATCTGCATTGAAGAGGAGTGCCTTGCAAGTTGCGAAAGGCCTGACGTTTTATCATGCTTCGACCAAGTGACTTGTCTACTGTATTTTGTCTGTCTTTGACGTCAGTGGTCACAGTCCGTTGTTAGTGGTTCTTCATGTCACAGTGCACGCATCTGTAAGTCAAATTAAAATAAGCATTATTCCTAAGAATAAAGGAGAGAGGTATCTGCTTGGCTTACGTTACAGGGTTTGTTCCACCCCAGCAAAACCAACAAATGAACAGTTTAGACAGAAGGCTAAGTGTTCAGCAGGATTATCTAGGATTAGAAGATTAGAAGAAAAACGAGACAACTGTTTTTAAATACCTCTGTTGATTAAATTTCAAACAGGATTGACGGTTTTTATTTAAAAAAAATATATATCTTAAAAATCATTAACACAATGTATGTAGTGTAATAAACTGTAAAATTAGCTTCTGTGATTGGTGACTATAGCTATTTTCTCAGATTAAATCTAACGTTACATTGTAAACATCATTGCAGATAAATTACGTTTGAAAAAGTCTAAACCATCATTCTACATGTGATTCAAAATCCTGATATTCTCAGTTCCCCTGATCAAACAAGGAGAAGACCTATCCACTAAAAACGCAATTCTTCAAGGGGAATTAACGATAATTTATCAAAACAGCTAGAAAATTTGGATATTTGCCTTTACATTCGTATTTCAGTAATGTTATTACTCTAGCAACTTGACTGAAAACGTTTAGTACGTTCTAGCGTTTATGACATGCTTTTCAAAACATAATGCAAGTTTTGCTTGTCGTTTTTTTTTTCCCGTCGGTCTTTTTTTAAATTTGGAACGAGACACTATTTTGTGCAAAAATAATAAATGTTTCATCACAGCTAACACTCATTGTAAATGCTATTCCTCGATAAGGAGAAACTACATATCGTCGCTAATACCGGGCGACTACAGAACGAGACAAACTAAACAGATCACTGTTTGACGTTCTTGAGAACTGTTTTCAAAATCTTTTGAGCTACAACAAAAGCTGGGTGAGTCTTTTTGAGATAGATAGATTCTCTAGTCTTTAAATTTCAAAATCTAAGGCGGAAACTTTCATAACCTCTTTCATCTTCAGAGTAAACCTTTGAGACAATTAACGCTGTTTAACTTNTCAATTGACACCTGTCAAAGCAAGCTATTTGCTGACCAGTATCCGGTGACCATATCGCGGGTTCAGGTTAAAAACTCATCGAGGTCATGTGTTTTCTTCAGGTTGATCGCTGACCAAATGCTAGCTTTAGATAGGATCGCGGGCTCATGTCAGGTTTATTTGTTGTAATTAGGGCGACGATCAGGGCCAGGTTGTTCCAGGTGGTTAACGCTAACCCAGGATTAAAACTAAACTTAAGTATAATTTTTTCTTGCATACAAATGTTTTTCACTGCTTTTAGGTCGTGGCGGGGCTGCGTTTGTAGTTTAAGATCATTCAAACTTAAAACAGAAGGCCAAACAATATAAACAGAAAACCTCACAAAACCTCAACAACCTTGCAAAACTCAAATCAAAATTCTCGCTTATCGTGTGCTAGCTTTTAGACTTGGCTAATTCTATATATTATCTTAATATCTACACAAAAACAACAAAGCTAACTACATAAAAATTTATTAGACAAGAAAATTTCAAGATGGCGGCCATATTACGCTAACCTGGCCGATGTTTGACATCATTCTTTGTTTCACCCGTTGAAGAGATGAATTCTACCATCGAGAGATGAACTTTTACGTGATATTTTTATATCTTGATATCCACATAAAAACTACCAAGCTACTACATTACGTATCATTAGAGCAAAAAATTACACTTCGTTTGAAGATGGCGGCCATATGAGAGTAACGTGGCCGTTGGTTTGCACTTCATCCTGTTTTCAATCCGTGAAAGAGGTGGGATTCTAATATCGAGAGATGAAGTTCCTGGCGACAGTAGACTGTCTTGATGTAAAGACAAAAACTACCAACGTACTAAGAAAAACGTTATTAGAAGTGAGATGTTGGACTTTGTTTCAATATGACGGCTATATTAGCGGAGTTTCGGCGGCTCAATGGGCCGCCAAGCGGATCAGGATGACGATAGGAACAGAACCACATGCATGCATGGAAATAGAAACCCATACAACTCTTTTTTCTTGGTCAACACGGCTAGCGGCATGGATCGCGGGCACTAGCGCCCGACGAAGACGTCGGGAACATGGCGGGCATACTCCAGCTAATACTACGTCTTGGTTTACAGCATACGCCTTTGATATTTGACATCCGTGTTATGGTCAGTTGACACCTGTGAAAACAAGGTATGCGCTGACCAGTATCACTTTACCATATGGCGGGCTCATGTGAGATCATGTGTTTTTTTAAAGTTGACTGCTGGCCAAGTAGTTGTTTCCGATTTGATTGTGGGCTCATGCCAGGTTAATTTGTTGTAATTAGGTCGGGTTGTTCGGAAATTGGGTTAACGCTAATCCACCGAAGTATAATCGTCTATACAAGTGTTTCTCACTGTTTTAGGGGCAGGGATTGAGATTATTCAAAATCAAGTCAGAAGGCCAAAGATATAAACAGAATACCTTACAGCTAAGTTACAAAACTCAAATCAAAATTATCGCTTATCCTGGGTTAGCTTAATCGGGTTTTGAACAAAACGGCCACGAGCTCCGCTTTTAGGCTTGGTTAAATCTTTATGTTATTATTTAAATATTGTGAGATTCTCATCCAAGCATTTATAACCTCTAAGTTGGATTATTGCAATTCCCTTTTGTCGGGTCTTCCGAAAAACCAGATTCAGAGATTGCAGCTAGCAGTATGTTCAGAACACAGCCGCGCGGCTCCTCGCTGCATGGAACTCGGAAGCACTATCATATCACGCCTGTGTTTCAAGAGTTACACTGGCTGCCAGTGGCCGAGAGAATAGATTTCAAAATTTTGCTTTTGGCCTTTAAATCTATTAATGTTCTTGCCCTTCCTTATTCAAACGAACTGTTACAACCATATGTTCCTGCTAGATCATTACGCTCCTCCAAAAAATCTCTACTTTGTACTCCTAAATGTAATCTTATACAGACACAGCATTTTTCGTATATTGCTCCAGTTTTATGGAACTCGCTACCAGACAATATAAGAAACTGCAGGTCGCTGGCGACATTTAAATCTAAGCTAAAGACTTTTCTTTTGAAACGTATTTTTTTATTTTTTATCTATAAGTTATTTTAATTAGTATAATTTCGAGAGGTGAATATAAGAATGGGACATTCTGATTGGTCGAAAAGCTCATTATATGACGCTATATTCACAGGTAACAGGTGCTCTCTTTTGCCTGAAACAGTTCTAAATACCGTGTTATTATACAGTTTGTTCTGTATTCTCAGTGGCTATAGTCTTTAAGCATACAGAGCTGACGCCATTTCTATAGACAGTAGAGCCCGTTTATGGTTTTATGCACGTGTGCTGCGCGTCACTCGCCTCACGAGCGATGGCGGGAGAGAGATTCCACATTCCGCAAGGGATACACTGATATAAAGCTTAAAAATTAATGAATTATTAATGATTTTATTAAGTGTAAAATGGAAGAATTACTGGATTCGGTTTTTGCATGATTTTGAAATTAGCAACGGCTCCGTTTTTTATCCGTCCCAGCCCGGGATAGGCAAAGAGAAGAACCCTATCAATTTCACGCATAAGACGGAGGGAGGCAGCGTGGCTGAGTGGTTAGGGCGCCGCAGACTTGAAATCCCGAGGTCGCGGTTTCAAGTTCCGCTGTGATAACTTAGCTGGAGTTCCGCTAGATTTGTTTCTCGGTAGACCCTACTTCAACTCTTGAGTCATGCTTGTAAATAGTTTATTGGTCTGCCTTCCGCCTATTATTATGAAGCCTATTATTTTTACTCCAAATATTTCTTTCTTTCAGTTTAAGCTAGAGACATGCCTGCCAACTTGCGGATCGACCACAATAAACATTCAACATTTAACGTTTAACAGACTGTTTACCACCCCCCAACAAAATTGTTATGATACACAATTAAATATAGTTTTATTGTACAGTATTTACAGTTTCATTGTTGAACATACCATTGTGGTACAATGTCATTACAATCCTTGAAAGATACTTAATCACTGAGGTATTCTCTATGGTGGCATACATGAAGCTTATGGTAACCTTATTGTTCTCTGTTTATTGTCACATGATTAGCCACGTGACACTTGGTCACTTGGTCCGCGATTTGAAGAAGTAGTAGGTGACAATGATGACTGTTCGTTGATGGCGTGGGAAAGGAGCGAGATTTGACCATCAATCTTCAATACTGAAGAAATACACTGTAAAAGACAGAAAATGTCGCGACGAGTGGTAGCCTGGTTTTACATCCATTCAAGAAAATATTTTCTCCCTCACGCACTAAGAGGGAGTGAATGGTTTTAAGAATTCAGTTGAATTTTGTCTCCACGAACATCAACTAAAACTGACATGACCTCATTTCATGTTATTTCAAAGTCTTTTTTTCCCTATCATCTGCAGACGGTAAACAGTGTTGCCAAGGCAACAAAGACAAGTGATCAATACCCCGTTGCCAGGTTCAACCATCTCATATGAGACACAGGGCGCTTTCCGTTCGGAAATTTCTTATCTGAAATTTCCGTGCCATTTGTTCCTGTTTCGAAATTTTCGGAATTCAGTTTGGGTTGAATGGAAGCGCCTACAATGTTTCAAATAACTTCAATCGCCACAAAGTTCCTTTGATAATGGAAGGCACTCCTCAGCGGTATGTTTTTTTTTTTTCATTACTACAGGTTATTTTTATGGTGCTCTAATGCACAAACAATATGTCGAACTCTAAACCGAGTCGGCCCGAGTCCTCTGATAATAGCTTCAGTCTTCCTTCTCAGTCTAGTTTCAGTCTTTCTTCAAACAAGAAAACGTCTACCGGCCGAATTCATGAGCACTATGTAAAACCTCTACCAAAGTAGGCTGTCGTAGATAGGTTTGCCAATGTTACTTCGATCCAATCAAAGAGGGTAGATGCGTCAAGATACTTGGAATCGCGTGCATCAATAAATCAGTCGAATGTCGTCTTTAGGAGCTGTCATGTCTACTACGATTCGTCGCAATTCTTTAGGTCAACGTTGTCACTTAAAAGTAATGCCCTATTTCAAAATAATACCGTCTCAGATGGCATGTCACAGGAGGTTTTGTTAACCCGACGTTTTCCGTTTAGTGATACAGTTGGGATATTCTGATCTGTTTTGCCTGCATACACAAAATGATATCATTCCTTTTGTCCAACTTTTTCCTGATACCGTTTGGCTAAAAGTCAGGTACTTCAAGGCGTCGTTCATTTAATAAACTAAGGGTTGAAGTCTTTCGCCGGTTAGAGAAAATAATCAGCCCCCTACTAGAGATATCGTTAAACAAAAACAAAAAGACTACATGCAATCGGTCCGAGAATGATCGATGAAGAACACTCGAGCTTGCACTCAAGAGCTCTGTGCTAAGTCATCTATAAAATACAAAAAAGGTTAAAAATCATTTAGAGCTTCAGAAAAGAATCTGCATTGAAGAGGAGTGCCTTGCAAGTTGCGAAAGGCCTGACGTTTTATCATGCTTCGACCAAGTGACTTGTCTACTGTATTTTGTCTGTCTTTGACGTCAGTGGTCACAGTCCGTTGTTAGTGGTTCTTCATGTCACAGTGCACGCATCTGTAAGTCAAATTAAAATAAGCATTATTCCTAAGAATAAAGGAGAGAGGTATCTGCTTGGCTTACGTTACAGGGTTTGTTCCACCCCAGCAAAACCAACAAATGAACAGTTTAGACAGAAGGCTAAGTGTTCAGCAGGATTATCTAGGATTAGAAGATTAGAAGAAAAACGAGACAACTGTTTTTAAATACCTCTGTTGATTAAATTTCAAACAGGATTGACGGTTTTTATTTAAAAAAAATATATATCTTAAAAATCATTAACACAATGTATGTAGTGTAATAAACTGTAAAATTAGCTTCTGTGATTGGTGACTATAGCTATTTTCTCAGATTAAATCTAACGTTACATTGTAAACATCATTGCAGATAAATTACGTTTGAAAAAGTCTAAACCATCATTCTACATGTGATTCAAAATCCTGATATTCTCAGTTCCCCTGATCAAACAAGGAGAAGACCTATCCACTAAAAACGCAATTCTTCAAGGGGAATTAACGATAATTTATCAAAACAGCTAGAAAATTTGGATATTTGCCTTTACATTCGTATTTCAGTAATGTTATTACTCTAGCAACTTGACTGAAAACGTTTAGTACGTTCTAGCGTTTATGACATGCTTTTCAAAACATAATGCAAGTTTTGCTTGTCGTTTTTTTTTTCCCGTCGGTCTTTTTTTAAATTTGGAACGAGACACTATTTTGTGCAAAAATAATAAATGTTTCATCACAGCTAACACTCATTGTAAATGCTATTCCTCGATAAGGAGAAACTACATATCGTCGCTAATACCGGGCGACTACAGAACGAGACAAACTAAACAGATCACTGTTTGACGTTCTTGAGAACTGTTTTCAAAATCTTTTGAGCTACAACAAAAGCTGGGTGAGTCTTTTTGAGATAGATAGATTCTCTAGTCTTTAAATTTCAAAATCTAAGGCGGAAACTTTCATAACCTCTTTCATCTTCAGAGTAAACCTTTGAGACAATTAACGCTGTTTAACTTTGAGGTTTGTTTATGGAATTTTTTTGTGTGACAATTTAGATGAAGGTTGTCCGAGTTCATGTGTTACTACTGTTAATTGCATTGAAATTTTATTATTTTAAATTTTTAAAGCCTGGTGCTTTTAATTGTGTAAGTGGTTAAGTAATTCAAAGTTTTGTTTGAGTGGAATGTAGTTAAATTGGTTAATGAAGTTTATTATTTTTGTTCCGTGTGTCACTGCCCCATTTGTAACTTTTCTTATCAAAAATAACTATGCATGCAAATGCTTTCAATTTAAACAACCCGAAAAACTTCACAGGTCTAGCCAAACAAACTTGAAAGCGGTCAATTACAGTATTCATGATTGGTTTAAACGCCATTCACAGAAATGAGTATGTGACGTACTCAGCTAGACTACTAAAACTCTAGACAGACCAGAGCTGGAAAGTGTACCTGACCACCATACCAAATATTTACTTTGTGTCGGAAAACTGACTGGCAGTTTAAGAGCTATCAAACACCAACCACACACCTCATCACAGGGGGCTGCTTCAAACTTTAAAAACGCTACTCGACTCCCAGTTTGTTTTGCTAGACCTCAAGCTTCTTCGCGAAAAACACTCAAAAAAGTCATAGACACGATATATTCGTTACTTTTAACTTCGTGAAGCTACGTGTCAAGAAATTGAGCGAAGTAGCCATGTTTTCTTTTCCATAACGTATTACGGAAAACTTGAAATTCCTTTATTACGAATTGCATAGCTTGTACTATGCAACGTCTTTGCAGTTTTGAAGGTCACATTGAATCACGTGACCTGTCATTACCTTAACGGCATGCAGAATAGGCACTATGTACGTTGCAGTCTGAGAAGTCGTTCTGTTTTGCCGCCACCTTGTGTTTCACTCAGCCACTCTTTGCAAGGAAACTCATACGTCCGACCATTTTCATCTGTCACTGTCACCTGCAAAACATGGGGAGAAATGAAGTTTGAAGAACCTGAAAGGGGATATCCCTGTTTAAAACGTGAAAACCTTTTGCTCGTTTCCACTCGATCGTGGTTTCATTGTAACCAACATTATATAAATAAATGAATAACTAACTAACTAACTAACTAACTAAATAAATAAATAAAGAAATAAATCATGTTAGATTTAATCTCTTAGTATTTAGTATTTTTTTCCCTCTTATTACACATCGTTTAGTATCCTTTTGCACACGAAATTTTGTCAAATAGCTTTCGAGCTCCTTAGCACTACGTGTATGAATAAGTCATTAACTGACTGACTGATCCATTGAAAAGGTTCGGACACTATTACTCGAGGGGATTTTTCTTCTGGTTCTTTTCAATCATATCCTAGTTTCTTGTACAAACCACGTTTCGTCCATCTTGGAATATCTATGACCGTGGCTTTGATTCACCAATGAGATTCATGTGGCCTGGCTCGAATCCAAACAATCGCCCATTCCCTCTATTAGACGCCCCTGCATGGAATCATGGTAGTTGTATTCATCGAAACAAATATCCAGTCTAAGATGATGAATACAACTACCGCGATTCCCCGCAGGCACGTCTCATAGAGTAAATTGGCTATTGAAGGTGCAAAAAGCATTTCTGGTCTCAGCACAGCTCTCTGCTTCTTCAGAGAAATGGCCTCTTGAATAAATTATGAATTCCATACAAGTGTAATCTCGCACCTTTTCCAGGAACCAGCTTGGAGTTGATCCTGAGTTATCGTGTAGAATTCTAACTTGCCTCAGCTTACCGAGGTCAGGTAATACGAGAGTGTTTGTATCATTTCTAAGAAGAAGAGAGATTAAACAACATCATATAAAATGCATGACCAATAAAACATGAACACATTATTCTGTATTGTGGTCATTCAAACGAGATATCAACTTACTTTCCCCTTGTAAAATGTTTAGTGTCCAGTTTTCTGAATCCCGAATCGCCTTTCTCCCCATATAAGGTTATGTATACTTTAGCGTCTGTGTCAGCTCCATCGATGTCACCAGTTGAAGTAGTTATAGTGTAATTAGTACCTGAAGATAGAATAGGTAGGTTACACGACATGCCAGCAAAAACGTGAGCCTTAGAAAATTTCAAAACTATGAAACAGTTTGTATCATGCTGGAGTGGAAACTCGAAATTGAAATGACTCAGAAAATGACTCGAACATCATCACTGGCTCAGAACACGAAAATGGCAAAACCATTATGTCTTAATGATGGGGCATTGTCACTTTTTAAACTGGGGATTATTTCGTGGTAAAGCTCCCTGGAGTTGTCCCTATAAGATTAATTTCGGTTGACTAACCACGCCGCAGTTTTTTGATGCAATAAAAACTTACCTAAACCAAAGAAGTAGACCATATTTGTAGAATTACCACCACAGTTCTCTTTGTCATTTCCCTTGCACGGCATGTTACAGAGAGCCTCATCTGCTTTGCCATACTTTCCATAGCGATGCCCGCAAAAACACTTGTCAGCGTCCTGAAGTCCAAAGTATGAGTATCCTTTTTCTTCCAGTGCGCATGATCGTACGCAGTCTTCCTGAGTGACGGATTTGACTGTGGCTCTGTCCGGCAGATCATGTTTTACAATCTCGTCCTTGTAACAGCCGACCTTTTGGAAAAGTAAGAGCACGTCTTCTTTCTTTTCTTCTGGTAGGTTTTCTGTTGTTTGAATTTAAAGAAAAGCCTTTATTAATCTTTATTTGCTAGAATTGTGAGAACTACATAGAATACTACTGACATTATTAACTTCACTATTATTTGACTAAAAAAAAAACACAATTAGCGACTTTAAAATCGAGAAGAAATCAGGGGTATGTTTCATCTCGAACTCGCTTGTTGGACCATTTTCGGGGACAACATGGCTTCCAATGTTTTTTCCCTAAAATCTGCAAGAGAAGACTCACCACAGTTTTTTTCTCGTTACCTCAGTTGCGAATGTGTACAACGTTTGTTGTTCCCTCGAAAATTCCATAGTCAAATACCTTTATTTCGCAATGCCACCTCGGATTTCCCAACTTCAAAGTTTAAAAAAAGGAATGGAAAACTCACCAATCAGATTTAAGGCACTGGCATTCTTTTGATAATCCTCATTTCCGATCTTCAGTTCAGGTTTAGGAATTTTTGCCTTCTTTACGATAGGATTCTCAGCATCTGGCTTGGAAACTGGAATTAAACACCGAAATCAACACCTTAGTTTGTATTCCTCTTTCAATAATATTATCTCACGACTTGTATGCTCTTCTTTACAATACAGGCGTGCAATTGAGGCGTTCTTTTACAAAGAACGCCTCAATAAAAGGTATTGCCTAGGTTACTCAAACTCTTGTTAAATTACGTTAACACTTTGGACAACCATTCACTACTTATCTTTACAATGGAACTCACTTTAAAATTAAAGATTCGAAGATCCACAAATTTGTTTCGGTATATTTTCTGTGAACATCTGACATGTTTTTCTTGTTGTGCACGTGATTCTTTTGGCGGAGGGGAGAGGAAACTGCTTTTTTGGAGAATTCAAAAGAGGGCGCCTTTTTCAAGGTTTTAAATGTTGTAATGCTTTCAGTAAAATTTAAAAGTATGCAGGCAATTACCTTGACAGTTCCGTCCTGTAAAATCAGAAGTGCATTTGCATCGGTAGCCATCCATCCTCTTATTATCCCGGATGCACTTGGCGCCATTTTCACATGGTTCTGGGTCGCACTTGTTCCCTGAAATTTTTTTTAACTCTCATTTATAATTAAGTCTAAACAAAATTTTATTTTTGTCTGGGTATTTTCTATTAATCGTGTTTTGATAGGCTGACTCTCTGCGCAAGAGTCTTTTAAATCTCCTGCGATCCTCGTCTTAGAGACGGTTAAGATAACTCTTACCTGAAGTGGACTCTGATCCTGTAAAGATATAAAAAGAATGTTATTAACTCAGTTTACATGTTGTATAATAAGGTTCTTTCGTGAAGAGGTAGGTTATACTCAGTCCGTCTCTTCTTAGTTACTGCCCTTGTGCGCTGTTTTTCAGTACTCCCTGCAAGTTTTGCAACTTTCTCAAGTAGTTAAAAGGATGAGATCGCTGCCCAGTGAAACCCTCCTTCAAATTCGCTTTTTATGACCTGCTTCAATCTTGGCGAGTAAATGTATATTTCTGGCTATAACTTAACGCCAAAAAATGTTAATGAAATATTTCATATTAAGAGAAAATATCATATACATTGACTCAAGACTTGGCTCGCTGTTGACCTAACTGATGAAATTAAGTAACGTTCCTGACAGTCCATTTCTATAATTGTCCGTGGCTCTAGAGGCCAAAGCCACCTCTAGTATCCTCTAGATCTGTCTTCTGCTACTTAATGCCATTATGTTTAATTATGTTTTAAGACAAGTCTTTTTGTGTGGTAAGATCACTCAAAGTAGTGAAAGCTATTCTCTTGAATAATATATCCAAGTGATCTTTCCAGTCGACCTTGCTTTATTGCTTTTGTTACTAACCCTGAATCTCGTCATCAGCCTCTTCGTCCTTGTCATATTTACCGGCATTGTGTGAAATATCCACGGCACTTGCTGCAAATAAAATGTAACTGAGAAGCTATTGATTCTGCACAACAACAACAACTTTCTTTATATCCCACTTTTACTACAAAATTTTAACTAAATAATCCAAAAAGTTAAAAGGGCTTACGGGCTATCCAAAATAACTATTAAGGGCTAGCAAAAAGGATTAACAAGACAAAGGTTAGCGAGAAACCACAGAAGACCTTTTCACAGCAAATTAATTAGAAAGAATATTTGGAGAGCTGTATAATGGTGGTTTTTTACGTGACAACATAACGGCGTATTAAAGTCATGTTGTCACGTTTTCGGCCCGGAATTAACTGTTGTCTAGTTCCAGGTTGGTCTTTTAGACGCACCAACGGTTTAGGTAATGAGGAACGCTCAAAAAAGAACAACGACGTCACTGAAACGAGAGGCGAGATAAGAATGTCTGTTTATGCATTATACAGGAAATTAACTCACAATCTAAATCATGAACGTCCCAGTCTCCTGAGGCTGAGCCATCACCCGAGTCCAGCTCGTCATCATTTAAGATCTTTGCTGCGTGCGGAAACAAAAAACAAATGTTCTGTGTTATTTGGCGTTGAATTTCAAGCTTATTAGTAGGATTAATTAAAATCGTTGTAAGGATTATTCTTGGTTGGATTATAGAAAAATCCTGGCCTGGGAAATATATAGGCGTTATAGACGATTAATTTATAGGTACATCATGATGGAGATTACAGCAGTTCTTGCAGGAAAAAAATGGCTGCTCCAACATTGAAAAAAGGGGAAAACTTCTAATCTTATCTTAAATTTGATCATAGCCTGCTTCTCTCATTATTCTTCACTCTCAGCTTTCACGCTCATTCGGGATCAAAAAGTCGCAAGAATTTCTTGTACATAAAGCTTTTTAGGTACTACCTTTTCCAAACATTTAGCTGTCTTAATGACAAATGAGTAAAGTTATGAGTGTCATACCTTTGACAGGACAACTCTTAAGGTTTCCAATCTGTTGCTCGTCCAATGCTTTGTTGTAAATTTGTAAGCATGAAATCTTTCCAGTGAACCTCCTCTCGTCTCCATCCCTGGCACCGATCCTGATTGGATACTGGGTAGCAAGTTTAATCTGACCGATATTACGACTCTTTACCATCTTACCATTGTGCCAAAGTTGCGCTACACCAGTAGTGTTGTCGTATGTTGCACCGACCTGATTCCACTCGTTCAGCTTGTAGGAAAAAACAAAAGATCTCATTCAGCATGTCTCTTGCGTTCACAGTAGAGAAAAAGCATATAAACGCAATTTATAAACGTAGAGTCGCAGAGGCAATATATTTATCATTAGTCATCTTATCAGCGGTTTTTGTTACTGTGTATGCATATCAGGTTCATTTTGCGCTTATGATTGTTTGACATCTTTAAACAAAGCTCCTGAAACGAAGACAGTCTTAAACTCTTTTTTTTTCTTAAGGCCGGGAAGAAATTATGTGCTTCATTGCGCAGCTGGTTACGAGCTTTTACGAATCATTTTGTAGCATCTCAGGTCTTGTAACTTCTCTTTTCATCGCAGCCATCAGGAATCGAAATTAATCCTAATCAGTTTTTTGAAATAATAATAAAACAACTGCCTGTGCACTTTTTTGAGACTAGAGATTTACTCATGGTCTTGGCCCTTCAGCACTCTGAGCTTCAAAAACTTTATACGCGTAAAGAACTTCAGGGAAAGAAAAGTGACCCTGCAGTATCCCCAAATTGTGGAAAGATGCAAGATTGCGACCGCGTACCTGTAACACCCTCGACGCAATTGGCTTATGGAAAACTCCATTACGATGCACAAATCGCACAAATAGCTCAGTGGACTCAAACTGCCAAAGATGGACTCCCCAACCATGTGTTTTGTAATTTAAGATGGGTCCCCCACTACCGGTGGGGTAGACGTTAGCGAGGATTGTCATGGAGTTCTGTGTGTCCAGCTTGCCGTCATTGGGAATCTCCACAAATGAATCTGCCGTACCTTTGAATTCGAAGGCTTCATCTTCATTGTCTGTTCAGCAAGAAGAGTGTATTGTCAATATCAACTCTTGAAAATTTTGCCTTTGAAAATGGTTACATATTAAACTGTTTAACAATAAGTAGAACTCTTAAAGGGGCTCAGTCACAGTATTTTGAGTTATTTTGGACTCGCACAAAATTACATTTAAATTGAAGGAAACCTGAAAATAGTAGTTTACTAAATAAGAAAACTACCAAAGATATAACGGTAAACCATAAAGGAACAAAGATAGCTAAGGATGGAGAAGATCCTCGTTCATTACAAACGACGAACTTGAAAAACTGAGGCATAAATTTCAAAGATACGCAAACCGTGACGTAGCTCCTGTGGACCGATTTTCAAATTTGAAACGGGTTTTGTTTCAGTAAAAAGCCATCTTTCATTTGCCGTGCGTGAAAATTAGGAAGTTCGGTTTAGATGGTCTGAAAATTGCTTCTGAAAACGGTCCCCATACAAAAAATGGCCAATTTTTGCCCATTTTCAACAGCAAAAAGCTACTCCTTATACCTCATATATCAACTTACTTAACGGCTTAAATTGAAGATTCAACCTTCTTCTTCAAAAAGCCGCGCGTGAAAGTTGAAGTTTTAACTCCTGGAAACCAGAACAGTAAGTTTTATCAACGCTATTGGGCCAATTTGGACCCTTTCTTCTCTTAATCAGGGCATTTCACGACACGCAAACATTCAAATTTGCCGCTTCGCCGGTCATGAATAATTAATAATGTCCAGGCATTCTACCCGATGCCAAAAATCACGTGCGAGGGTTTCACTTGAGAAGTTTTCTTCTTCCACGAAGAATTATTTCAAACTTCCATATCGTCTCATTTTTTTATATATAATTACTTTACTTTTATTGCTTGAACAATTTTGTTTTCCTTTATAAGCGCAAATCATCCCTTTGTAGCTCGGAGAGAAATAAGGCTGCCTACTCCAGGATTCGAACCGCCGACCCTTCAATACAACTTCCGATTCCCTGAACCTTACCACTGCACCACCTTGTAATAATAAATTAGATATGTGGGAATACAGCTATAAAATTCGTCACAGTTTGGTCAAAACTGCCGCTTGATTGATGATTACCCCGGGCTTCAATGATTTGCACAGTGAGCTATTACGAACTTAAAATGGTTGTTGTTTTCTGCGGGAAATCACTCAATATGCTCACTAAATGACTTGTTTTACTGGCCATGTCATCTATTCATGGATATTCTGGATGCTGGACGGGTTTTTCATTCTCACTCTCCTCTGAGGTAAGGAGATTGCTGGGCACGTACTACTGCTTGTAAAAGTCATCTGACTTCAAAGTGCATGGTTTGTTCCAAAACCTTAGCGATTCACCATTTTGTCATTTTGGAGCCTGCTCTTGTGTGAGTAATTTCTGTCCCCTGATTCTCCTGATTCAAAGGAGTTTTTTAGTACAATGAGGGAATGGAGATGTTTGTAATAACTCAAGTCCAAGGACAGACACATCGATAACAGTAGAGCCCTAGACTCGATAGGGTAATTCTAAAGGAAAGGAGACGTACAACAAGTGTGGATTTGGTCTCATGTGAAAGAATTAAGTTGATTATAGATATTTATCTGTAAAGTACTGTGTACATAACCCATTCGGTTTTTCGTTAGAACTCATTACAGTCGTAATGATCAAAACAGCTCAAGTGTTCCTCCTAAATAAACTTGAAGATTATCTGTAAATTAATGATTGCTGTTAAATTTATGCTTTGTCGCCCAACCGTGACAAACTCCTTAAAATCTTTTTGACCACCCTTGTAACAACATGACCGTTTCAAATATCATGAGTTGGCTAAAAAAGCCTTTTGATTTATTTCAAAATTTAACTTTTCTTTATATAAGCAGGCAACAGGTAAAGTTTGAAAAAATATATATTGTGAGTTCTATTGCGATGAAATTACCTTAACGAAGTTTTATCAAAAATCACGTGCAAGGGTTTTTAAGTGTTTCTCCTCTAATAATTATTTCAAATCTCCATACTGTCTCTCTCGGAAAGTGCGCATTATATAATAGTTTTTAATCAGGTAATTGTAATCTCTTGATTTTCTGATGTTACGGTTGCATTTAGTTTGTTGGGACCTCAGTCTTTACGATTCTTTATCAAAACAGATTGTCACACGAGGTTAGAATTCCATCTCAGTAATGTTCACGCGGCTCTTTGTCAAAGCCGAAATCTTTAATCTGTTGCTACTTCACGTATTGATATGTATGCTGCTGAATGATAGTGATACCAGAGGAATAGAAAACCAGTCAGCGCAAATCAGTTGCGAGTGATTCGTTCACTTGCTCCCATTAACGCAAGTACGCTAGTAGCGTGATGCTTGTAGTATACCTCATGCTTTTAATGAAATGTTAAGTACTCGGAATACAAGCGTTACTTTTCCGGTATCATTATGAATTTAATTCGATCTGGCCTGATGCCCTGATCTGACCCATGTTGATATATATACAGTGAGATATTGATCATTACATACATAACATTAACAATGCTTTTTTGTGATTTATTCCTGTTTCAGCTTTATTCGCAGAAAATACATATTAGTTAGTTTTTAATCTGCTCATTGTGATCTTTAGCCTGAGATTTGTCTGCGTAACTAAAACCCGTCACCTCAACGTTTTGGCCTGTCATTTGTTGTCAGAATTGATTAAATCGCGAACGAGTTGTGTGAACCGTGGCCTCAGACTCTAACAAAATAAAATGCTAAAAACAGCCTGTCGCAAATGCTCGAGTCTCCAAGGTCTGCACACCAATCCCCGTAAAAAAAAAAGGAAAAAATGGAGTGTCTTGAATCTGTACAGTATGGTTGCCAAAATCAATAGCACAAACCGCCGTGAATTCAACATTTTATGCTTGTCTTTCATAGACAACAATGATTAACCTGCGAGTTTCCAGAACCGCCCTTCACAGGAATCTTACATTAGGAACTCAAAGAAAAATTACACAGAAACGCAAAGAATCCTTACACAGGAATGCAGAAAGCACTGCATATACCTCGTGTCCATGTCACTTTGGTCATGTCGCCACGAGGCAAAAAGTAGAAGTCAGGAAGTCCATTTTTACAGCGTGTGATTTGATTGCTATATTAATCTGTTGATTTCGAGGCAGTTTAGACCTACAAATAGACTTGCTTACAATGCGACATATTTCTATTGTTTCTTGCTGAAAATATGCTGTTTGTCTTGAAGTAAGCTTTTACACAACAACCAGGTAACAAAAGACAGCGAATAAATTTGACTCAAGTGCAACAGCTTCCGACTTCCCAATGAGAAGGATAGGTCTTTCGATTTTAAAGCTTCGTTAGGCTACTTACATGTAAATAGGTGCAATTGTTGCGATATGCTTACATCTGATAGTTTCCTTCTCCCACAGAGAAATGATCAATATTTCCTTGTCTTCCTTCACCGCCCACTCCACAGTCACAGAGATTGGCTCGGGTTTCTAAGGAAGACAGTACTTCACTTCTCTTTAAGAACTTCCAGTTGTTAGCCTCGATTAATTATTAATACCAAGTCTACTACCACTATCTGGTGGTCACATGGTGGTCACATGTATCGGTATATACTCGTTTGTGTTTCTCGTACTTTATTCATTCGTTATCCTCTTGGGTTTGTGGGCACAATACAACAATACAGTAACCTTTATTTCACCTGGAATTTAAAATAGCAAAATTGCTAATATCTTCGAGAAAATGAATAAATAAAATAAGATGGATATGGAATAATAAAATAAGTATATAAAATTACAATATGTACAATTACGTAATTAAGGCAGTAGCATCAAACCATTTACACCTATCTACAGAAGGGATAGCAGTCAGTGTCAAATTCTAAATTACGAATAGTCGATTTGAAAGCTGCAACTGTTGGCAGTGATCTGGTGGTATTGGGGAGGGAGTTCCATAGTTTCCTTCCGTAGTAAGATAGAGAGTGCAGGCCATATCTAGTGGTATTAACACGAGGGATAACAACAATGTGTACCACTAGTACGTAGTTTTATGCTGTGAGTTTTATAACTAAACATATTGGTAATATATTCCGGGGCCAGCTCATTAAGAGATTTATATACTAATGTCAGAATATAATGTACGTGCCCATTAAATAATGATGGTTGTCCTACACGATTAAGTTATTGCATATAATTACTGTCGTTGTCATTGAAAACGAAACTTAGGCTGCGTTCATTAACTTTCTCCAACTTCTTTAAATTACGATGACCATAATGGTGCCACACGACACAGCAATAATATAAATGTGGCAACAGATAGGTATTATATAATTTGGTCTTGGTGTCAGTGTTAATTAGTTTCTTATGCCTTTGCATGACCTGTATCTGATTGCTAACTCTGCGTACTATGTCTGCCACATGCTCCGTGAAATTGAGATCTTTATCATTTGTAACACCCAGCAATTTCATGCTGTGAACTAAACTAATGACACTACTACCAAGATCGTAGCTGGGTATATCCATGGTGTTACCCAACCACACGGTGAGGAATTTATCATGGTTAACCGCTAAACCGTTGCTGTTAAACCACTCACAAGCAGTGAGAAGATTGCTTTGCATGTACCGATGAATCAAAGAGGAATCATTACCAATGGAGACGATCTGGGCATCATCAGCATCAGGGTTGGTTTTGACTAATGAAAAATAGGTCGTTAATGTGGATGTTAAACATTAAGGGACCCAATACTGATCCTTGTGGTATTCCTGTAGTAAGAGAACAACAATTGGAGAATTGTTCACCAAGCCTAACTCTCTGAAAACGATCTGTTAGATATTTCTCCAACAGTAAACAGCTACTGCTATTAAGACCATAGGCAGACAACTTGGCCAACAGCAGATCATGTGGTATACTATCAAATACTTTAAATAGATCAATTCCAATAATGGATGCTAGTTGTCATTTGTCCAGGCCATGTTTGAACTCCTCCAATATGCGAAGCAAAGAAGTCTCACAGCTATAGTGCTTGCGATAA